AGTAGGATATTACTTCTCCACCAAGCTTACGTGTTATATTACGTGAATCCTTATCGTGCCTATGGCGGACGCACAAACGGGCATACAAACAGACACACAAAGTTAGCGGTTTATATATATCATGGATATGTATGGGCTTTGTCACGTTCCTTTCCTCTTTTTTAGTACCGCGCAGTCTCTTCTCTGAGCGCAATTTCGTTTCTGGATGGGCAAGCCGGTTGCTTTCCTTAACGGTTTATCCTGTGCCCTCTGCCATACGTGTCTATGTCGCTGTACACGCCACATGCTGATATATGATTCTGTGATCCCATGTTACCATTATTCTGGTTCTCCGATTATGAGAAGCACCTATGCAGATATTGTCGCTATCACAGGATATCGCACCGTAATGAAATTTTCAAAAAGTACCTGCATCTTAGTGAGGTTTATTTTTACGTAATACAGCGTCGCACTGATGACTCCGCTTCGAGTTCTCGTGACAGGTGCTGCAGGCCAAATCGGTTACTCCCTCGTCCTACAGATCGCCAAAGGAGATGCATTTGGAAGGGTATTCTGCTGGAAACGCCTTCATAAGCGTTTGATGCTCAAATCCAGATGTTCAGGATACTCCAGTTGTCCTTGTACTTCTTGATCTACCTTCTATGGCAACAGTTCTCGAAGGAGTAAAATATGAACTCCAAGACTGTGCCCTTCCGAATCTTCATGGTCTGTTTTAGAAAAAAAAGTTTTCTGGTCAATACCGAGACAACACCACCTCCCATCCTTCTTTTTTTCCTTTCTGTCTCTCCCCTCTCCCCCTCCCTCCACTTCTGAATTCCAAACGAAAATCAGCAGCATCTTCGATATGTAGAATAATGGTGAGAATGTAGTTGGGAGAGGGGGAACATCCATCACAATGTTAGTATATCAAAAAATAAGCTCAGTGTTACGTGTATTCTGTGTTACACAAAGTACCTGCAAGTTTTAACCAAGTGTAGAAGGGAAGAAGCACCGTGATGGGCGGATTTTCAGCTTTTCACCCGAGGTAATCGTCGCACTCATTCTGGTATTCCTGCTCTCCTTAGGCTTAGTTTGAGAAAACTACATCCTCTCGACGGAAAACGCGGAAACCGCATAGGAGCGCACAGATAGCCGGAGCTCATCCGCGTCGTCGTCTAATATAACAAAGGTTGGCACGTAACAATGAATTCATTACTCGATATGCTAATACTGTGATGCCTCTCACCCCCCCTCTCTCTCCACCCCAATCACTTTCATCGGGATCCAGAATGTTCATGATATGTTTCTGGACGTCAAGAATTTCGATTTTCGAGCGATGTAGAGTAAAGGTGTAATGTGGGGCTGCACCACCATATTTACTGTGCATAGGTTCAACACATCCCTTAAAAAAGCTCGAGTGAGGCGTTTGGACGTTAACCAATCAGTAGCTTGTGAGCTGCTATTTTCTTGTAGCCTTGGTGAGATCCCAGTTGCTTACAAATTGGACCATTATTTCTAATTAGAACTAATGAAAAAATATTCAACTTTTCTTATGATAATTCAGTGGTTCTAAATGTTGGAGTTAACACGCAATATTTGAAAATCGAACAATGACCAGGGTACGGTTGGAAAGAAAGTTACAATTGCTATCGCAGTGCAGGGAAGCGTAAACACCAGAACATCACCTGTATCACCTGTGGTCCCGTTGATCATCGATTTCCTCGAACGGGCGCCAGTAACGTCTCCATTCGTCCCTGTCACGAGCCAGAGTGGTCCAGTGAACCGTCCTCGCTTCAGGGACACGAGGTCCAACACTCCTTCCGTTCAGAGCTTTCGTGAAGAAGTCGGACCATCTGGTTGGCGGCCGGCCTGGAGTTCGTTTGACGTCCCGAGGGATCCAGTCATTAACCGCCCGGTCCTACGGTGACCCTGTATCGCATGACGTGTTCGGCCCACCTGATCTTCGATTTCTTGGCGTAATCAACGGCATCCCTGATCTTCGTTCGTTGACGGATTTCTCCGGATTCCCTTCTGCACTTGCGTGTGCAGGGAAATTCCGAGCGTCGTCCTTTCCAAAGCGTGTTCAGTAACGCTGACTGCATGTTCATCCTGCTTTCGTAGAGTCCAAGTCTTCAGGGCGTACCTCAAAGCATGAAAGACTGCAGTGTCGAGAAGGTGAACGCCGAGCCGGATGTTCTTTGTCATTTTCACTACTCCCTCGATATTCTTAAGTGCTCCACACGCGGCGCGTTTCCCTTCTGCACAGCTCAGGAGCTAGGTCGTTCATCATGTTGACTTCCCGACCTAGATACACATAGCTAGAGCATTCGGAGATATTCTTTCCGCTCAGCGTGGAGGGAGCATCAGGTACCAATCCGTTCTTCATAAACATCGTCTTCGTTAACTTCAGTCTCAAGCCGGTCCTTTCGCAAGCGCTTTCAAACTAGGCCAGCATTCGTTCCACCTGCTCGATGGTCAGTGTTATGAGCACGATGTCGTCTGCAGCGCGGAGGTGATGTAGGAAGCGGCCGTCGACCTTCACTCCCAAGTCTAGCCGGTCCTTTCGCAAGCGCTTTCAAACTAGGCCAGCATTCGTTCCACCTGCTCGATGGTCAGTGTTATGAGCACGATGTCGTCTGCAGCGCGGAGGTGATGTAGGAAGCGGCCGTCGACCTTCACTCCCAAGTCTTCCCATTCCAAATGATGCATGATATTCTCGAGGGCGGCACTGAAAAGTTAGGGCGAAATAGTATCGCCTTGCCGGACACCTCTCTTCACCTTGACAATGACTTCCTTATTGAATGGTGAAATCCTGGTCGTGAAGTTGTCGTAGAGCTCACGAAGCATCCTAATATATTGAGTAGGAACGCCCTGTTTGCCCAGGGAATCAATTACCGCTTCTGTTTAAACGGTGTCGGAAGCTCTATTCAAATCGATGAAAGTAAGACATAACGGCATTTTGTACTCTCGCGATACTTCAATGAGTCTTGTAAGAGTGTGGATATGATCGATTGTGCAGAACCCTCTCCGAAACCCAGCGTGCTCGCATGGCTGTTCTTCATCTAATATTCTGCCAATCCTGTTCAGGCACAGTTTTTGGTTTATATTCTGGCGTATCAATAACACCAGAACATAAACCTAAAAACTACTAACTACGTATAAAACTTTCGCGCCTGTCTTTCACGAGATACGATATCAAATGGACCAGTCAAGGATATCATTCACTGAAGTTTCTGCCTCACTGAAGGATCTCCAGCTGGTTATTGACGAGACTACGTGGCGCGACACCAGGTGGCGTAAGGTAGTTAATCGCGGATCAGAAATGTAATCCTGCTGCTACTTAGCTAGATGGACTTATATCTTGTTCCTCCAGGTGTAACCATTCGTACAGGTGTGAAGAGTCTGCGGGTGCGTCGGTATTCTGCATATAGGCTTAGCCGAAATTTTGCATTCCAGAGACTAAGAAGTGGTGTGGGAGGCGATTCGGGCTGCCTCCGATATTTAAGCCCGTTGTCCACTCTGAGGTAGCCTGGCTAGCTACCCAGAGTCAGCCCAGTCCCCTTGTCAAAGCCTGGCAAACTACTCCTGGATACTCATATGCCAATAATAGTAACATACACTCTGAATAACGCATAGCGCACCCTGGTTGCTCAGAGCGTTGAATTATCGCTTCTGTCACAACGGTATCGAAGCTCATGTGACACATCTAACAATGATATGAACAAAAAACATCGCAATCTTTTCTCTTATAACAGTTTAAAGCGGACGCAGAGGTCAAACGCATGATTTTTTCCTTAGCAAATTTGTTGCAAGTACCTAAATCAAAACCTTTGCCACTTCAAACGACTCTTTTTCGAACAACCAACAAAAACAACTACTTTTGGGTTATGTTGTACATCATTGAACCGAGCTGGATTCGATGAGCTTTTGATCCGTTTTGATGCTTTGCTGTATAGCGCACCATCTATTCAGCCCGTCCTGAATGCGTTCCATTGAATTCAGGAACGAAGAGTGGCCAAACAGTCACGAACTCGCACATTTATTTGCTAGAATGCGGATTCCGCGCCATTAGACTCGCGTTTTGGGTCACTGTCTGCTGCAAAATCCTACCAGCTAGCATGTTTTCTTCCTCATAGGAATATATTTCTAACCATGGTTCATATAGTATTGACCATCAACTCTGCTTTCAACTCTGAAAATAAGGCCCTTCCGTCGAATGAGAGTTCATCGTGCACCACTACCGACTCTCGTTGTACCTAACAGAGGGATTAGTGGATCTTTCATTGTATCTTCTTCTTTCTTCCTTCAAGCCATCTTACACACTTTATACCATTAGATCTTAAGAGTGTCAATTTATAATTAATTATAATTCATTTCTATATTTCAAGAAGACCTTGCTTCAATCGCCTGATGTTCAGCACAGGTAGCAGCTAGCAAGCTCTACCTTTGTCTTCCGATTCCTATTCCGAGCTATTTAGCAGTTTTTTGACTAAAGGCTCGGTTATCGGAATATTAGCAGTGTAACGGGAGAGAATTGACGCGGACAGCGCATTCTGAAGTCTTCAGCACCATCGCAATCGTTTCACTTCCAATGCCGACTTCCCTCGTAGCATTACAGCTTTACATGTGGCTTTGCTTTTGGGGTAAATCGGTTATATCAAAGAGATATTCGATGATCGCAAAATGAGCATGCACACAATTGTGAAGTACGGATGATACTAGAAAAAAGCAATTGACAAAAATGTTCCATCGAGTTCTTCTCACTTGGGCGGAGGTGGTGCAGTGGCAAGTGACGCACTATATCGCACTCACGGTCGCGGGTCCGAGTCCCCAATATGCTCCTAGGCCGACCAAGCCTTCCATGCCTCGAGATCGGTTAATTGGTATCAGACTAACTGGGAGGATAAAAGCACTGACTTGTGCATCGGCTCGCCACCGCGAGTCATTCTATAGGCCACATACGCATTCAAGCCGCCACTACGATTCTGGATGGAAGACTGATGTGGGGGCGCGTCTTTATTCGTTATCCTTCAAACTTCTCACTTCGTCACTTTATCTAATCATTTAAGTTGTAGAGCAGGGCGTTAAGAGCATCTCATAGCTTTTCCTCACCACAGCATTAGCAAAAAATTCATAGAATTTATAAATAGTCGATGATGAATTTTATGAAGCAAGTGGAGCTGGCCCTCAAGGTAAAATGAACATTGACCGTTATCCGTTTTATCATTTCTTCTTTTCCACCCTCTGAGCTGATGGTTTCCGGTGTGGACTGCGTAACAACAGAGAAGGAAGCTTTCACGGATATCGATTACGCCTTTCTTGTTGGAGGTATTGATTGCAACCTTTAGTGCGAGTCATATATTGGAGGGTGTTTGAACAAGAGATTTTTCTCGTGTAACGTTCCCAACCGTTTTCAGCTATGCCACGTAAAGCAGGTATGGAGCGCAGGGACCTTCTCGCAGCCAATGCGAAGATCTTCAAATCTCAAGGCAAGGCATTAGCTGAGTATGCCAAAGCATCTACCAAGGTGGCTTGGTAAAACTGTTCTTTTTATGTTATTTATTCAGTAGCTACACTCAACATGATTGTCATGTCCTCATTTTCGAGTAATCCAGATTATCGTTGTTGCAAATCCAGCCAATACAATGGCCCTTATTTGCTCCAAGTATGCGGCTCCGAAGATATCTGCTCGAAACATCTCCGCAATGACTCGACTGGATCACAATCGCGCCATCGCACTGGTTAGCGAACGAGTCATGATTGTTTTCTGCACAAGCTTTCTCTTCGCCCGGCTATATTTGGCTGCCAGACGCTTGCTATTAATTTAAAGTGGATTTTGTAGACTGCTGACGTAACTGTAATCATCACCCTTCCCTATTTGAAACTGATATATAATACTTAGCTGCTAGCTGACCTTTCCTCTTCTACATTGCCTATAACTCGCGGATGATCTGCTACCATAAAGAAAGGTACTGTAATCAAGAAAAAAAATATCGTTGTTTGGTTGACATCGGAAGAAAAAGAAACCCATAGGGACCCGGGCAGCAATCTCAGACGACGTGAACTACGCGGAAAGAGTTTCTTAGTTGAGTGGTTTTATTGCATGTGAAGTCTGAACCATCAAGGTTATTCTGATGTAGCCAAATAAAGCACAGTGACCAAATATCAAGAAAGCCAGTAAATCTTTCTCGAATCCTACTTCACACCCCTTTGAGAAAGTTCTCAGGACTTCCTAAGTCACGGTAGATCAAGAGAGAACACTTGTCACACCAGCGAACAGCAAGCGGACTGGTACTTAGAAAAGCTCATGCACAGACGAGAGCTACATATCCTACGTACCACACAGATCTGTCACGAAGTGGCCAAAATCAATCGCTACATCGCTCCCGCCGATAGCGCTTTGGGCCTTATCTCCTATATTCCCAGTTACGATACAGTGTTGTCTTCTCTCACTTGAGAGACACGTAGAAATCATTCCTCGCTTTCAAATCTTCTGTAAGAAAATTAGATAATCTCATCTAGTGATCATTTTTCGTCACCCTAGACCAACAATCATGCAAAACTTTCGGTCGAGTAATGGAAGTGATAGTCCGGAATAGTGAAAGGTATCGAAGAAAACACGACGTATTTGGAGGGATATAAGGCTTTGAAGAAGAAGTAAAATTAGGGGATGGGCAAGAATGTTACGAAAAAAGCTGTAAGCAAGGTGTTGGAGCATGCGACATTGCATACAGCTGGCTGCAATACCCTGCCTACGTGCAAGGTGTGGGCGCAGTTATGCGACCTCTTCAGCATTTACAACGCTGAACAACTCTTCCACCTTGGGCGTGTACGTCGGCTAAGCCGGCTTGGGACCCTTACTACGTCCTATCGTAACTGTTTTTTGAGCCGACGGCGTCCCTCGGGCTGTCCTCGGGGATCATAGCTTCAGCCTAAGTAGAAATCTCGGGAACCATTTTCAACGTGAACTGTGTCTTCAAGCCATAGAATGAAGGGCCGCATTGTCGGAAAATGGAAAGAATTCGATTGTTCCTCGTCTGACTTCGCACAAAAGGCACAGTCCATAAATTTGAGGTCCCCTTTTTTAGTCAGAATGCTGAAGTGTAGAGCGGAAATAGTTCATCGGTAGTGAAAAAAAGAGAAAATTTGCCCATTTTGAGAAAAATAAGGCTTTTCAAAGGTCGGAATAGTAGAGGTTGGACGAGATTACCATTGTGCCTTTAAATTTACCCAATGCTTCTCCATTCCCTGTGTACAACTCTGAACTCACGTTGTCTCGAAGACTCTTAGGCACACGTAGCTGGAGCATATAGAAAAATCGTATTGTTGAGCCTGGAGGAATTATAAGCTTCCCATCGAGGCGTACTTGCGAGCCGATCTTCCTAGGCGTTGTCTTGTTCCGACAGCAATCGTTCCCTTTGCTCGATGTTTGGTGTTATAAGCGCGATGTCGCCTCCACAGCAGAAGTGGTCTGAGTACCAACCGCTAACATTCACTGCCAAACCCCTCTCTTGCAGAGTGGTGAATTCTTCATAGAGTGACAAGATCGTGACCGTGAAGTTGTCGTAGAACTCACAAGCATCTTATGATTAAATGTATAACCGTGGTTGCCTAACGCTTCAACTAACCTCTCTTTCCGTACTAGCAAAGGTAGAGAATGACTATGAAATCTGAATACACGTTTGTTTTCACACTCCTTCACTGGTACGGAGCACGCACGGAGAATGAAACCGAGCAAATAGTCTTGACGAGTACTATTCCTATCGACCATGGGCTCTTTGGCCAATACGTTGTTGCTTCCGCTCTGACTATTAGATTCGGAGATTTAGAGCGGCCTGAAAAGCTCTTTCTTTCTCTTGAAGGGTAACATATAACTCATTTATGGTTATAATATTCTTGTGTCGTGCGAGGTTGTTAGTTACTTGTTTGAACAACTAACAATCTCGCACGGCACAAGAATAATATAATCATTAATCTCTTTTTTCAACTTCGGCATAGTCAGCTGTTGTAAACAACAATGCCGAGGTTAGAGACTATAATCAATTCTTGCCGTAAACGGTGGGAGGACGGTATGACAATGAAATATGGGCGTCAATGCGCTTTCAACGATTCTTTCAACCAGAAGAAAACTTCTGTGCTCCCCGTCTTTCGGGATTTTATTCAAATGCTCTCGGTACAAGGCAGGAAAAGTTGATGAAAACCCAGCGCTGGGTGTAGAGAAGCAGCATGCATAAGGTGTGCGGACTATGAACAACGTGTGTACGCCACATATTCGTTTTCAGGTTTTTCCATCAATGCTGAGTTCCTCACAGGCATCTTATACATATTTTATTCTTTTGTGAAATGTCCATTAAGTTGAAACTGGAATGGGGTCATATCACTCACATGCAGAACCAAAAGCTCAAGTATGACCAGAAATGAGGCGTTCACTTGGCAAAATGTCAGAAAGGGTTTCCGAGACCTTTACTCGGCTATGGTTCTGAACAAACCTGAAGCTGAAGCAAAAACACACCACTATGCCACGTTAACACCTGATATCGAATTAACTTGTTCACATTTCCAGTTAACACTAGCGTGAACCAAATTTCAATTCCTCATTACCTTTTTGGAAAAATCATGTTGCAGTTCTACTCAAACATCGATGAACGGCGTTCCTACCAATCAATATTCATCTCCATTTTAAGTTCCGCAGTTAGTAAACTACTCCTCCGTGGTCGACTATATGAAAGCTTTTAGATGAGCTAACATGCAGGATACCGGATCTACCTACGAACTGCACGGTTATGAATGTCCACCACATGCACAAACAAAGTCGGACCCTTTGCAGTATGCCTCAAGGAACTCCCCATCCCCGTTTGAAGCAAAATCGTGCCCTCCCACTCTATAGTTTGCTCGTTGGTCTAACTTGTAAATCAAAAGGAAAGGCATAAGATTTGCGCTTATGCCAAAAACGAATAGATTGTGCATTTGCATTCGTGCATTGCCTCCCGCCAACCTACATTTTGGAAGGAAGTCATCTAGAAGTTGGGCAAAAAAACACTCGACAGTGTTGGCGTGTGAAGCAGCCTCGTACTTCTGCACGCTGATATAGCTTTCTTTCGGAGAGAAAAATGGAACTTTCCCTCCAATCTACACACATTCCTCTAGATAGCCGCTGAGGATCATTAGAGGAGCCGTCTTAAAAAGAAACCGAAATCTTCGCAAGTGGCGTGTTTTGTTCTAGAGCGCACATGTCAAACCCCTCAGATTCTGTTGGCTACCAACTACCTAAGTCGTAGTTGAGTTAGAACTCCGTGGTAAGTTCCCGGTTGAAAACTAAGCGGAAATCCGTGAATGTGACCATGTAAATGGTCCAAAGGCCGACTAAAGTAACAACCTTTGGCACCAGTCAAGTCCGTTTCTGAATGCAGCCCCGCAATTCCTTTCAGAATTGCATTGGGTTTTTGAATACGTAGTGGCATATACAATGACTTGCGGAGGCCTGCCTGTGCCCAAATCAGTTCATTCCAGAAAATGATCTGGTAACATTCATGTGGTGGAAGGCTTTGTTAGACCAAACGAATATCGTTTCAAGATTCGAATCCGATTAAAGCGTGTGTGATAGTGATCCATGTGTAATCACACCACCTTGGTCCCTTTTATAAACATCAACCACGGCCTTTGTGAAAATGGAATCATTGTGGTGAAATACGCTTGAGCTCCTGACGAGGTTGGTACATGAAATTTTCGGGATGTGGTTTCATGAGAGTTTCCTAGGCCTAACTACAACAACCTTGAACGAAGACCAATCGGATTTGTAATTGGTACCCTAGTATTGGCCACTGACTAGTTTGCAGCACTTTATGATGCGACGCTGGTATGCCTATTTCTAGGAGTAACCTGCAGGTTTTGTTAGTTCCGCACTACAGCATCACTGACGTTTCGTTGTGAAGTCCCAAGTTGCTTTGATCTTTTCACGTTCCGGAATCGTGCCTCAAATGTCAGTCTTGTAAAGCTCGCTAATGTTATAAATAATGCTTTTCTGTACCGAACAGAAACTCAATTTCCCTTGCTTACATCGACAAGCTCTGATATGGTATCACAATGTTTATAGTATGTACTACAAAACATGTTGCCTATATAAGCTCTAGGTGCCTCATCCTCTTCACTTTTCCGAACCCTTTGATCGACTTCCTGTCTGCACTCTCCTGTGCACTGTGCATCAGTCAGTCCAGTCACCAATCGGAAGACTGTTTGTGCTCTACCGGATAAAGGATCTCAATACGATCAAGTGGCGACCACGGCAGGATAGAAGAAACAACTCCAGAAATGTCTCCTCCTAGTCGAAGACAAAGAAGACGACAGTCAACAAGCAGACCTGCACCTCCTGAAGCGGTATTCAACCCAATTGCGACGGTCCAGTATCCTCCGACAAGCAACGCGTCACTGCTCAACTTCGTCGACGCGTCCATTCTCAGTAAGTTGGAACTTCCAACTTTTGACGGGAATATCCTAGAATACCTCGAATTTTCATCACGTTTTGCAACATTGGTGGGAAGCAAAGTTCAGTTAGATGACACGACAAAATTTTCTCTCCTCAGGTCTTGCCTCAGAGGGCGTGCCCTCCACTCCATTCAAGGTTTGTCGATGACGCCCGGGAATTACAAAATTGTGTTGGATATTCTCACCACCCACTACGATGATAAGGTCACAATGAAGCACATCCTGTACACGAAATTAGCTCAACTGCCGAATTGTGATCCCGAAGGGCGTAATTTGCAAACAATCTACAACCAAATGTTCGCCCTGGTAAGGCAATTCAGCGACGGGGAGGATGATTCCAAGGAGACTGGCTTAGGAGCGATTTTGCTCAACAAGCTGCCAGCCCGGGTGCGAAGCCAGATATACGATCGAACGGGGAACAGTCATAATCTGACTCCGATCGAACTGCTAAACTTGCTCATTGATATAGTTCGTAAAGACGCAACCCTATTCGAGATGGAATATCACGCTCGCCCGAGTAACCATCTCCAGAGTTACGGATTCCACTCCTCATCACGATCGAATCCAGACAGGACAATTCCTTATAAGGATAAGAGAATTAGACCCTGCCCTTTCTGCCAGAGCAACGATCACGTCCCAATGCATGTGTTGCATTTCCCACACCTCAAGAACGGAGCCGTCTTGTAAAGCAACTACGCTTGTGCTACAACTGCCTCTCTAACAAGCATTCGTTGAAGGAATGTACATCGAAACAGTCTTGTAAATCGTGCGCAAAACGCCACCACTCATCCCTCTGTTTTGTACACCCCAGCTTGTCAGATCAAGGAAAAGGGCCTTCACAAGGTTCCATTCCATCTCCGCCTAATCAGTTTGCGGCTCAACCCCACCAACAATTCTCTGCTACTACAACGAATGAGACTCACGCTGATAGCCATTTGGAAGAAAACAACATGATGCTTATCCCTCCTATCCCCACTCACTTAACCTCGCAGGATCATGAACTTTCACCGGTTGAACGCACACCAGCTACGCTAATGTGTACTTCAATTCGCCTGTTTAACCCCTCCAAGA